ACAGAAAAAAAAATTTCTTGACTGGAGAACAATAATATTCTTGGCTCAAGAAAATTTTCGGGTGCCTGGAGGAAGACCGAAGTTGTGTTGGCCGAAGTAAAAATTTTTCTTTAAATTCTATTCTTGGTGGAAGTCATTTTTTCTTAATTCAAATTATTATAAATACTTGATACAATAAATTTTTATGTTTGATCAAGATTTTTAGATACTTTAGGAAAGGAGCGCCACCTACTTTAGCTGAGAAAATAATTTTCTCACCTTGAGGAAAATTTTCTCTTGAATATTTGATACCCATTTTATATTATTTTAGCTTGCAATTATACATATTGAATGAAAAAAAATGATGAAATATTATTTGATCTTTCCATTTGACATGTTAATCAATAAAAATATTAATAAAAATTTACTTCTATCTTTATATTTAATTTTTTGAAGCAAGAGAAAAATTTTCTCAAGACAAGAAAATTAACTTCTATCAAAAACTAAATTTTTTGGAGCAAGAGGCTGAATTTTCTCAAAACAAGATTTTCTTGACTTAAATAAATTTTCTTGGATCAAGATACGTATTTCTTAAAGCAAGAGAATTAATTTTGTTGGAATAAGTGAAATTTTTTGTCAAAAAAAAATTTTTTTTACAAGAAAATAATTAGGAATAATTTTCTTGGCTCAAAACTTTTGTCTTACTTTTATTATAATTTTTATATTAATTTCTTTCAATAATTGCCCGATTGCCCCATAAATATATAACACATAAATAAATAAATAAAAAGTGTGTTATCAAAACAAGAAATTCAATTTCTGACACGCGTTCTTCATATTTTATATTTGCTAATTTGAAACTAATATTTGGGAAGATTAAATTATTGACGATCGGCCTAATCCGTTAAACATATTATTAACTAGACAATAATGAAAATCATCAGTTAGTGTATTATTAGTAGAACAAAAGAGTAAATACGTTATTTAGTATTTATGATGGACATGAGGACAATAATGCATGACTATGCACGGACCAATTGGCGGTTAAACGATTAATAACCAAGTTCCCGATAATAATTGTTCAACCGTTGGTACATAGTAGTACGCCAACACAGAGTACTCTGTAATGACAATGACAGCGATATGACACAAACAATTTTGTATGTGATGGAACAATTTTCGATATCTCCTATTAATTATAAATATATACCTGGACATAGTATAACCGGACATATATATCAAGTATACTTTCATTGAATTAATACATAGATGCGCTTATTGATCATGTTACAGAGTACCCGTTGATTCTATTACGAGGCTTGTTAATTAATTTAATTCAATTCAATTAAATTAAACATCGCGTGAAATAATTTATTTAGCGACAATTGATTATTCTAAGCTATAATAATTTTGTGAGGGCGCGACAAGCATAGTAAATCCGCCACCGCAGTATTTTTTTTGATTAGCTGGCGAAGCTGATGATCGCGGCGAATCGCTTATGATAGTTCCGCAGCTGCTTTTCAATGACTTCGACGAGCTTTTCCGCTTCAATGCTAAGTACTTGGTCTTTAGTTCTCGCAGTTCTTTATTCAGCCTCTCTACTTCGTATTTATACTCGTTCGCTCGGCACTCCCACATGTTCAGCTCTGCAGTTAGGCACTGTATAAAAAATAATTTATATTTTATTACCTTTTGTTTATTCTTAGAGCAATTTATCAGTTCATTAATTTTTTTTGTACTACCTGAGCTTTTTTTTTAAATTAAATATTTTTTAAAATTAATGTTACTAGCGTTTTTATTAAAATTCAAAAGATTTTTGTTTTTTGGATATTTAATACTTGATTTAAATTATTTTAATAATTGATTTAAAAATTATTTCAATTATTTACATGGTCAATTTTATTATAATGTAACTAGTGTGAGATTTAATTGAGGTAATTCATTATTGTATTCAAAATAGTTTTAATTTGATTTGTCAATTAAATTATTACTAATTGATTATGTTTATTTATATAATTAATTCTGTTATTATTGTTACTGTCTGTTATTGTAGTACCTGATGAAGAGCTACGAAAGTGGCGAAACGTTGTACGATAATTGATTACACATCAAGTATTAAATATCTAAAAAAATAATTAAATATCCAAAGAACCTTTTGAATTTTATTTTTTAAAATATTTGTAAATCAATACACGAGTTAGTACCTTCATCTGCTTGCCTCTTTCTCGCAGAGCCTCTCTAGCCTTAACGAGATTAGATATTGATTGCGGGGCTGGCTGCTTCGCAAGAATTTGTCTTAACTCCATGTACAATTTTTCAATTTCCTTTATCTTATTGCTTTTTGATATCACGAGTTGATTCATTTTAAGTAAACGTTTCTGGAGGATTTGGATCTTTTTCAATAGCTCCATCGTTGTTGGATCCGATCCCTGGAAAAGTTTAATAATTAATAAATAAAGAGCTTTACATTATTTTATAATATTTATCGAGCTTTTTATTACTATAGAGTTGTTGTTTTTTTTTAAATGATTTAATAATAATAAATGATAAAAATTAAGGTAATTTTTGGCCATATCTAAGTAAAAAATTAACATTTTTTAATTATTAAAAAGTTGGAAAAAATTTTAGCTCATGTTCTTGGATAAAATTTCTATTTTATCTTTTTTTGATGTTTTTGATATATTTTTTTTTTTTTTTAAGTACATAAAAAACGAACAATTTAAAAAAAAAA